AGTGTTACAAGCTCTTGGTGCATAAAGAAGATCTGTAAAGTTGCAAAGACTAAAGTCTCAAATCCAAAGAGATATTCTTTATAAAAGTTAAGAGTCAACCAAGCCTACCTAAAACGGCTCGTTCTAACACGCCCCCACATGTCTACGTCACGATGTGGGAAGATTTGCATAACGCTGCCCAAATGTTCACGCAAAGAAAGGCGGCATAACTTTTATTCTCGCTGTAGAATTGTTGCCGCTGCCACCATGCCGTGGAGACTCTGTGTTTCGTTGTGAAAGCGAAACTACTTGGTTTGGCCTTCCAAAAGAGGACGATATCCGCTTTGTCATGCCTAGAGCTGATCCGTGCTGGTCGCTGAGGAAATACATCAACTTCGCGCAGTGGAAGTTGTCTTTTCAGACTGGGAGACTCTGTGTTTCGTTGTGAAAGCGAAACTACTTGGTTTGGCCTTCCAAAAGAGGACGATATCCGCTTTGTCATGCCTAGAGCTGATCCGTGCTGGTCGCTGAGGAAATACATCAACTTCGCGCAGTGGAAGTTGTCTTTTCAGACTGATGAGCTTTGTAAAAATCGATGCGTTTCAGAAAGTCGGGGCATAGAGGAGAAACAATAATGTACAGTATGTGGAAAATAATGTGTTTTTTGAACCTTAACCTTGAACCACATAAACACATTTCATTACACCAAATACACAAAATAATGTTCTTTTTAGCAACATCATATGACCCCTTTAAATATGATAAATGGAAGCTCAAAGTACTTGCTTGATGTGAGGGAACCAGTAAGGTTTTTTTTCAATCACGTAAGCACATTCGAGTTTCCAATAATAATTCAATAATTCTTTAGATGGTTGCTTTATTGAACGATCTATTGCATTAATAAGTTTGCTCATTAGTTATAGCAAGATAAAATAAGAACATCTAGCAGGAAAGGGAACAAAATGTCTGTTTATGATATTAGATGTTCTTTGGGTTTTATTCATCAAAATCTTCTGTGTATGTTAGTGTTAATGAGGATTTTGGCATGTGCACACAACTGAGAACACAAACAACTATATGAAACAGCTTGTGCGTGGGAGAAAAGGACATGAGTGATGTTTCAGGATGTTCCTGTTTTTTGTTTTTAAGATCATTGTAAGATTGGCTGGGTTTGGTCTCACCAGCTGAATGCTTATCACACCACAAGTCTAGCCTGCTGTGAGCCCTTTTGATTCGTTGGGGGGTTCTGGGGGAGAGTCAGGCTGCCAGCAGGGTACTGGGACTCTTGAAAGCTAGACCAGCCGCTCACAGTTGGATCACTCTCTCAAGAAGAATCAGATAAATCTGTTTTCTGTGACTCTCCCTTTTTCCGTCAATACCTCAGAGTTTGGTTCCTAGGGTAACAGTAGGACCCTAACAAAAGCAAGCACTGATACATATACCTTTGTGTCCCAGTGTTAACCTGGGAAGCACTATTTCCCACAGTGATCTGATTAAAGTGTGTATGAATCATTAAAGAACTGTAACTGTCATGTGTGAATCACACTAGAGCTTAAACTGGGCTGAATGGGACATTGACTGGGCTATAAACTAATCCATAAATACCCTAGAGGTGAACATCACACCCATCTTAAGCTTCATTTAGTCTAATAATGTCTAATTTTGTAATGTATCAGACATCATGCTTTGAATCTACCACTACATGTTCTGCTACTCTAACCATCTGTAGCTCTTTCCCAACACAGGCAAGTCATCACATGCTGTAATCACCATTTCTTTTCTTATCTCATTCCTCTGTGCTGGTTGCTAGCTCTTGCAAAAGATGCATTTTGGTAAAGAAGGTAAATGCTTGCTTATCTTCATCATGGAAAACACAGACACTCACCTTGCTGAAGGAATGCTAAAAGGTACCGGAAAGGAGGCTGGCTGTCGTCTTCTTCACATGGCAGGGCATCCTCACAGACTAGATGCCTATAGAACAGACAGATTAGGATTTAAAATATGTTAAGAAATGACTTATGGGTAGGGTGGCCAGGATGTGTCCCGTAAAAATGCCACGTATGGTCACCCTACTTTTGGGGTAATATGTGTAACTTGGGACCACTAACAAGACTGTCTTTTTTAACTATGCAAATTACAGTCCTCTTGATTTCCATTCACTAATTAAAATTTCATTTCATTAAAACACATTTTATGCAGTTAATGCCAAGTTTTGGGAAGGATAGACAGACAGAAAAATGAAAAGTCTGAGGCAGAAATAAAGAGAGAAGGAGTTGGAGAGGGAAAAAATGCCTGCCTGTTTGCACTGCGTACCAGAGGTGGTGCTGTGGGTTGAGCCGGGTGGTGGAGATTCCCTTCAGCTTGCTTTCGTACTTTGGGGCCAATTCCCTTGCAATTTCTGCATGAAAACAGTGCTGTCGTGAGAAAGAATATCTGCACAACTTGTTCACAAACTCTAAACTTAATAAAAATAAAGGATCTTTTTCACATTATGTACACATAGTTATGTTCATGTAATCGCTTTATGACATTATGCCCCAGGTAGTAGAGAGAGGGCAGGAATGTCAGCCATTAGGTTTAATTCCTGGAATGTAAATAGCCCATTAAACCAGACGAAGATGTTTTTCCTCAGCGTAAACCTCATAAAACCTATAGTTCTCCTTCCGGTAACACTTATTTAATTTAGACTAAAGAAACCAGTGACAGATCACAACAGCTTAAAATACATTTAAAATCATTGCTGTGTCCAAAAGTTGTCCTTATGGATTCTGTTTGGATTTTTTTTTTTTTTACATGACTGTCTTTCTGGTGAATCTTTATGGCCCTAACAGGGCCAATACGCTCGTCTCAGCACTGTCCAACTTGAATCACATTGTTTGATTTGATGGGTGGGGATCTGTGTAATGGGCTCAATCTTAGACTTAAATTGACATGCTCAATTTTAAAATGCAGACTAAGCTGTAAGTGTTTCTAGGTCAAATTGGGTGTGTAGATCCCTGGAGGTTTTTTTAACCAGTAATGGTATTGGCACATTTTGATATGGACATCACTCAATGTAAAGTCCTTGCAGTTAAGAGAATCAGTGATTAAGTGAACCAGATGTTGATTTATTAGATGATCTGATGGATTCAGTTCAGTGTCTTGTCTATTTGACCTATTTAGAAAATGAACTGGTTCACAGGAGTCATTTCCCCTAAATCAGACTACACTTGTTGCATTGTATGTTGATTTGAGTTCAGCCTGCAAGGGGTGTCTCAATAGAAATATCAAGAGATGTTTTTTTTGCCATTATTTTTTGGTATACAATATATTTATTAAGTCATATTCAATACAGACTGTAAGCTCACATCCACAACTCAAGGTAAAATGCTACATTTTGCTGCAGTGCTGAATATACAGCAGCAGGGGAACACAGATGCTGAAAAGCAGTGCAGAAAAAAAAGTGATTGTCCTTTGCCTGACAACAGAGTACAGTTCAACTGCAACAAAAGCATTTAGATTCATTTAATCTCTTCTGCATCTCAATTTTTTCACTGAATAATGACAGATGAGGAAATGTTGGGCTCTCAGAGAAACTGTTCTGGCAACCCTAAAGACCTTTTGTTGTCAAAAATTAACATACACGTACATTACATGAATTTGTAAAAAAAAGTATTCTGGGATCATAGCTAGATTCAGATTTTGCAATTGACACACCTAGACAGGGGCCTGAGAGCACGCACAGGACAGCGATCTACAGTCTTGTAGCATATGTTTGGCTTAAGTTTGTAAAAGAAAGTCAATAAATGAGCCATGAATACAAGATAATGCACCCTTTGTTATTATAATTTAAGACTACAAAGACAAAGAAACAGCATTCTCCACACATCTGGGAATTGTTTTTTATTATTATTTTTACTATTAACATTTACATATGAAAAGTCATGCAGACATATAAAACTCAGACAGCGTCACTGCTATATGAATATGTGGGCCAGCCCAGAACATTAATGAATTATATAAAAAAAATAAAATAATAAAAAACTCCCAAAGTGCAGTCATAGTGCAGTGTGCCCCCAAAAAGAAACACTACTTGGTACTTTGGTGGCAAGAGTGGCTTCAAACTATGCAGACAATGTCAAAATGTCACTCAAAAGCATTGATGGATAACTTACTGTAACTCATCTTAGCATTAAACACATCTTCCAACTTTTTAACATTTTGATCATTAACTATTTTGATGCTTTTGAAGAACAACCACAACACAAAAGCAAAGCTAAATCAAAGAAACCACACTTTTTTAGTAAAATATCAGACAGTGTGTTTCAAAACAACCTGGGAAGAACAATGTCTGAATGGAGAACAGACGCACAAAAATATCCTTTCTAGCACAGTCATTCAAAGTTTACTCTTTCTGGTTCTGCAGGTGTATTGACAACCACAAAAATGAAACAATCAAATGGCACAAATTGGGCTGCGTTTACACTGGCACAAAAAATCCGATCTTTCGCTCACATCTGACACAGATCGGAATTTGTTGCACACGTGTAAACACAAAAACCCGCACGAGATCCAATTTTTTTGCATCCGATCTGAGCCACTTCCAAATGTGGATTTTAATCGGATATACATCTGATATCTGGACATCCGTATGGAAGCATATAGGTAGCGAAATTCAATTTAAAATGCAATATGCAAAATGGCAATGCAATATGCAAAATGGCAACGCAATATGCAAAATGGCATTGTATTTCTGTATTTAAATTTAAATTTTCCATTACCCATACGTGCAAAGTTTGGTGCAAAAGTAAAATGAAAATTAAATTATATAATTTACATTTGCCATTTCCAACAGTAGTCTTAATATGTAAATTGCATGCACATTTGAACGCTTTATAAAAGTTGCAAAATGAAAATGAAAATGTATAAATCAAATTGATTTGATATGTGTAACATGTTCAAGCAGAAATGGTAGCAAAATGATCATTTAAATGCTATTTGTCCTAAATGCATTTAGACTAACAGTTAGAACACTTAGGATTGCATTTTCATCATGACGCCGTGGGATACGTGTAGCAAAATTCAATTTGAAAATGCATTCCGAGCTGACCATGCCCACCCTCCGTCACTCATTGCTTCAAGGCAGGGATTGGCGGAAGCGTGTTACGTTTGGATCGTTTGAAACATGGC